AGTAAGTATCACCACATTGTTTAGCTCTGCTGCGGACGAAGTGAAGCTCATGCGACCATTCGCCAATGTTCTGGGAGGACACGGCAATTGAAGAAGAAGAATAGCTTAAAAGCTTAGGCAGAAATTCATTCAATTTTTATGAAAATATGGGTACGGGAAATAAGGGCTAATTCGTTACTCCTAAATTCCTTAGTATGCTAACTAAGCTCTTCAACTATATATACAATAGCGGGTACATCTACCTAACGATGGGTTACAATAGACTTCCGTGCTAATTACAGACTCATCGGTTTGATTAATCATGTAACCTAGCCTAATTAAAAATTCGTCCTCAGTAGCATATATTGTAAGTGTGAACTAGAAACAGCTAGTAAAGCGATCTAATTGATATATATATATATATATATATATATATATATATATATATATATATATATATATATATATATATATATATATATATATATATATATATATATATATATATATATATATATATATATATATATATATATATATATATATATATATATATATGATGACACTATATTCCGGGATATCATCCGTTCGCTCGTTGAACTCCAACTGGAATCCTGCATCCGGCTGGAATCCTGCTGGATGCAGGATTTGCAGGATTCTAGCCGGATGCAGGATTCCAGTCGGATGCAGGATTCCAGTCGGAGTTCAACGAGCGAACGGATGATATCCCGGAATATAGTGTCATCATATATATATATATATATATATATATATATATATATATATATATATATATATATATATATATATATATATATATATATATATATATATATATATATATATATATATATACATATATATATATATATATATATATATATATATATATATATATATATATATATATATATATATATATATATATATATATATATATAGACAAACCGCGAAGGTCAAGATTCCGCTGTAGATGGGTGTACGGCAGGGCTGCGCTCTTGCAACTTGTTTGTCATGTCTATCTCTAAAAACCCGAATGCTGCACTGTTATATTTTCTCGATGCTGTTTTACGGCATCGAAGCCTCGACCCTCACCGACACAGGTTAGAAAAAGGTCTTAAGAAGAATAAAAAAGAGTAAAGAAGTTGTATTCACCATCCAACAAATGTGAGTGTAGAATCTCAGAAAATTGTTTGGGCCAAACTTGAATACACCATTGTTACTTGATTGCCAACAACGCATAGGGGTGGGGTAGGGTAGGGTAGGAAAGTGGAATATTTTATAGTAACTGAACTCTAATTGCTTTGTTCATTTTCTAAAGTGAGGCTTAATTTATTTTTTGTTGGTTGACATTTTGTAGGTTGTTTAGGCCGATTCGTAGATTATATTTTGTATAAAATACCAACAAATAACTATAGCTGTAAGTTGTTAATTTTTAATTTTGGTGATACTTCTGACTACTTTTGAATAAATTTCTTGTACATCTACAAACATTTTATTCAAAAGTATCATACTTTATTTTTATCAAAATTAAGAAAGTTATGTTGTTTCTATTAGAACATTAAGGTCAAATTACATTCTTAATAGCTTTAACTGTGAACACCTCCTTAAAACTAACATTTAAAAAAAATAAAATGAGTTGTTATTTTGATAAGAGATAATTTCATTAGAAAATCTGAAGAAGTTTGTAGAGCCTACGCATTACCGCACGGCGATTGTGGTGGGGATTGGGGGCGATTAGTAGATATGGTCTGTTCATAGATATAAGAAAGTGATCAATTGAATTTGAATGGGATTATCCAAGGGTGGTTATTATCATACAATGCAACATAATGCAAAATAATTAATTTTATACCTACCTGTGTTTAATATTCTTTGGTTTGGTGTACTACTTAGTTTAAGTTTATTAGTAATCATTCTTATTTCGTGTGTAATACAGCGTGTGTTGAATTGTGTGCGAATTATGCAAAATATGTGCGAGTCTAGTGTATCTCAGGAGATGCTCCCGCCCAAATGTAGAAAACACTATTCATTGAACGTGGTGCCAGCAAGCAAGCAATTGGAAAATGCGATGCTGACATTTTCTCGAGTGTAGATGAAAGTGATCAAGATATAATACGGCGTAAAATTTACCAGTTATACGAGGAACAAAGCGTGCCTACATTAGATATCTTAATTAGGAGGCTTGAAAAAGATAAAACCGGTCTTAAATGTGGCAGAACTACCTTATGGAAGTGTATTCAACAGATGGGTTTTAGATTTAAAAAAATTGACAAAAGGCAAGTTTTAATGGAATGGAAAAAAATAGGATTTACAGAGAACAACAAAGGCCAATTATTTAGTTGGATGAAACTTGGTTCGACACTTATGATGCCCCGGAAATGGGTTGGTTTGACTCAACTGATAAGTTGTAAAGTGTAAAACAAACGCGCCATCAAATAATATAGAACAAATAATAATTAGAACAGGCGATGATAGCGATTGCGATACTGATATATTATGTGAATAATTTTAAGTAATTTAAGTAGGTAATAAAAATAATTTGTAATTTTATTAATATTTATTAGTAATATTTATAAATAATTAAATTCTAGGCAAAGTACGGACCTGTTCGGCCATATTTCATTTTTACAGCTTGCCCGGGCCTTTCCTTAATTCGTATCAATTAGTCACTTTCTTATACCTATGAACAGACTTTATCTTATAATTCTTTCACTAGAAGAAAGATCTGTCGCGTTAGAAGCACCTGTCTCTGTAACCAATGATAGACAGATCGCTATGATTTAGGATATTATCAAAAATTACCTACTTACCATAATCTACTAGGAAGACATTATATCCAAATGAGTCGTAACAGTCAACATAAAGGACCATTTATGAATGGTTAAGTCAATAATGTTTTATGCTTGGAAATGTCAAAGCATACAGTTTATGCTGTGTATTGTTGCAGTGGAATTTGGACTTCTAATAGCAAAGAATTACATTTATGTACTTTAATTAACTTGGTGGACAAGCAAATTATATATTTTTAATAGAATGCAGAATACAAAATTATACACATATAGTTAAAAAAAATGTGCGTCTACTAAATTCATTCTATCAATATTTCAAGTTAAAATAATTAAACCTCAACACTATGCGATGTCGCCATAAATGTAGTTTATGAAATCTGAAGTTACGATGGTCGGTTCAATTAATACTTACAAACAAAATAGCAAAATCGTCAACAGTAAATGACTTCTCTGGTCTATAGGTCTGTAAAAATATTGCTGGTAATAATTAGTTTCCTTTAAAAATCTCATAGAATCTGATATTATTATTGACGATATCACTAGTGCGAAAATGTGAATAACACCTTCCATAATCCGCTAAAGCGGCGCGAAACCTACCGTATTTCCTTTCCTTAAGGGTGTGCTATACAAATAACCTTTACGTACTTTTTTTTCCTCGAATTCGCGATAAGTGCCGTAACATCCGGACCCTGTTTAACACGGGTTCTCTACCCGATAACTACCCCCTGAAAGGCCTAATGGTATGCCATATTTTAGCTTGTCACATAGGTTGATAATCAAGAATCATTAATTTGGGGCATTTTGATTAAGCTCCTGGCGGTAGACAAAGTAACGTAATTATCTAAGGATGGAAGAACGAAATCGACTAGCTAAATTTTGCTGTGATATCTCCCTTACGTGCGACGCGCTAAACTGGACGATATGTTGCACGATTTTCCACATATAAAATAAGGTTTTCCGATTGATGGAATAACATGATGTTTAATTAATTGTTTTTTTCGCCAATCGTTTCAACCATTGATTGAAATTCAACTTAAAACAGTGAAAAAAAAAATCATTTCATCACAGGACAAGGCAAATACATACGCGTATAATTGGTTGCATACTCCCGTACTGCGTTGGCTTTCGTTTCAGGAAGTATAAAACAAAATGTGGAGAAAGGCTATTCAAAGTGTGGATCCGCCGTCATTTGAAACCTCCCAATAAGGCCTAGCGGCGTTCAACAACCGACCTGTTCGCTGACAGTTCATCGCGGCATTTTTAAGACAGTCTTTTCGAATAACATACCCAGATCTGTTAAATGTTCCGCGGAAACGAGTTAATTGTGTTTAGAAAGAAAAGGAGCACGGTGGCTCTCTACGAAAATATCATTGCCGCTTCAAGAGTATCAGTTTTTTGCCGTTTTTAGACCGCTAGATTAACTAGCAATATGAATCAAAATAATGCCGTTTGACAAAGAAATTATTAGATATTTTAAGAAAAATTATTAGTAAATTAATTGTGCGTGTGTACTAATTATATTGTAATACTAACACTATCGCCTGGCAACAACCGCTTCGCACCTTTGCGCATTGCGAACAGTTGGTAGTCCTTTCTTTAGGTAGTTACTAGATTTTGACTGGCCCGATTCGGAATTTCAAAAACCTAACCAAAAATACATAAACCCACATTGCAAAATTTCCAAAGATTTTACTGTTGATTTGCAGTACTTACAATTCTTAAAATTAAAATCAATTGTAGACTGGAATCAATTTACCTATTTTGGAAGCGGTGAAAATAGCGAAATTTTGATAAATATCGGAGACGTATTTCGTAAAATATATTTGCTACCAAATTTTCTTTTTAGAAAATGATCGTTTTTCTTTCTAAATAGCGATATCATTTTAAGGTGATTATATATAAGTTGAAAATGGATAATAGTAATTTTCTCGAAACTTCAATAATCAGGCTACTAGATTTTCAGAAAACACTCGAGCGAATGCCTCTATGTAAATTTGACAGGTCCATTGTTTCAAGGGTAGGATTTATATTTCCGTGTGCCATTTATCAATCCGGCCCTTACCTCTACATGGTATATGTACCCACTAGGATATGAATATATTTAGAACGACCGAGTCTCTATCTTTTGTTCATTTCTGAATATTTTGTTTCTTATGATGTATGGAAGACGTTTATACATGACGTCACGATATAAGTTCGAAAGGAATGAAAACAAAACTTATGACTTACCTATGGGATTGTTCCGAGTTGTTGTTGGTTAAGTGATGATAATCGGGTCGAATCTGAAACGAAATAAATTTTAAGTAGCGCAGGGAAATCTGGTGGTTAATTTTGTTTGTTGGAAATATACTATTTCCTTTGTTATTAGAGCTGCGACGTTGTTTAAATTGGCAATGAAAAAAAGAGGTTTACGCCGTTTACGGTTTTTAATAAATTTGTAAATATAAACTACCGAACTGCTAGGAGGTTTCGCAGTTCCAAAATCTATTATATTGAAGGAACAAATGTGATAGCAATGTGGCTATAAAACTCGATTATAAGGAGAGACATCAAACCGCTGGCTAAAATGGTGTTTTCAAACATTGTTGCATAATATATTGTTAAGTAATTGTATTATGGTGAACGATAATATAATCATTCGTCATTATGAAGCCCCAACTCAATTTTTCAACTGGCTTTCTGTAATTATACCATGAAATTTAGAAAATTTAAATAAAAAATATCAATGCTTGCTTGCTCTAGTCGAGAGTAATTGAAAAATTACCAGGAAATAATATGGCAAGTATTCAAAAGATATATTCAATTAGGTTGTCATGCAATAGTTTCTGGCGGCTTCAACTTTCGAAATGCGGTAACAGTGGATTATAGAGATGCATTTAATTTGAAATTTAATATACTGCTCTTATATGCACACCCCTATGAGCGTCGCTTGACAAATTTATGAGACGTTTTTAAGAGGAATCTGGACTATATTATATGAAATTAAACGAGCTGGGTTTTTCATTAGCAAAATAGAGAGATAAATTATTCAAACGCATCTCTTTTCCCGAATTCAATTTCATTTAGTGGAAAACATTCGGACACCTTGCGGCAATAATTTGTCTCATCTAGAAATACCTCGTCTGTTATGTTCCTTCCATTCTAATATCTTTGAAGTTTTAGAACGTGCTAATTATTTCTTGAGATTGTATCTATCTGGGACTAGCTAGCATTTTAGAGAACCCGATTCATCGAAATGTTGTTTAAAATTATGCTATTTAATTGCGCAAGACCCAATTATCGATTAAATTAATAACTTTTGGGGAAACCTAACGAAAAACATTCACATAATGGTAATAATAAGGTTTATTTTATTATTTATTATTTAACACCCACAAGGTGTCGTTCATAATATATTTTGAATGAGTTCTCACTGTTAGTAATTGTTATATAGTTGTATATGTGTGTGTATGGTGTTTATACGATATATGAAATCCATTTTTCAAAAAGAGAGAGTATTATGAAAAGTTGTTGCTTAGCAATTCTAAATGTATTAGAAACTGTTAAGGAAAAAAATTTCGCAAAACAATTGCTCTCGATAATATTTACAGGTTACACGAATATCTTTCTTCGCGCAAAATTAATATAAAAATTAACATTTTGAACAAAAAATACCCATTAGCGTACAAAATGTTTGTTGTGAGTTTTTATTTAATCGGAGTATTACCGAGGGCGATCTCTGCGATCTACATTACAACGGTGTACAAATTCCTCAGAGAAAAATACTGGTTCAAAATGAAGTCTCACTAGGACACGGTTATTATTAATTATTGGATCTTACCTAGTACTTTTACCCAAGGAATCGCTAAAACGGAAAAAATGACCTGCTTCGACGTGGCGGTGATATTATCAAAGAAATTAGTGTTCGTGAATAAGGAGATGCACATTTTCATGCTAAGGTTAGTTTAGTTAGTTAGTTAGTTAGATACCGATAACTTTTCTACGTCCATCAAACCGTAATATCGCTTACCTCAGGTGTTTGGGAGCAGTTTATTTCCACGCTTTTCTAATTTTATCAAGCTGACCGAGAAAAATTGAAATATTTTCCAGTCACAACGAACCGCTTTAATTAATCAAAGAGAATCTAAAACTATTTACAGATCCTAAAATAAAGCGCGTTTGAAATAGGCAACGCGTAGTTCTTATGGCCGATAATTCTTATTTGGGTTTGGAGTGTTCCACCGCCGAACGCACTTAACAAAATCTGGCGTTTCCACTTAGTCAAGTTATAAATAAGTTCATTTATTTTGTCACGATTTTGGACGATACATGGTGGGGAATGTGAAACATTTTGGACACGTGTTACTATACAACTTGGGGACATTTACTACTGGCGGAAACACCGTGGCTTTTGTAATTTGAAAATAAGGAGGAAATAAACAGGACGCTGCTTAACGAAATGCCAGTATTTAGGGCACCCTTAAATCGGTTATGTGTCACTGTGTGATGGCTAATAAACTTGTAGTTTCCGTGCTCTCATTAGCACATTTTTTCTTTGTCGTATTTTTCCTGTCAGAGTCCAGGCGCCTCATTCTCTACTGCTGATGAAGGTCAGTAAAGTAGTCGTTCGGCAGTAGCATCATCAACTGCTGTTGCTGTTGGTGGAACTTTTGTACATGTGAGGAAGCTTTAGAGGAACCTTTTTGATTTAGTTATGAGTAACTACGGTTCAACCATAACCGCTTGAGACGGAAGGTGTTTCCCAATTGTCTTTTAGGTACCCAAAGCGATTTACGATTACGGATGGTGATGACAATGAACGTTGAAAATCTTTGCAACCAACTGAACTATTTTCGAAAAAGTTCTACGCCACTATTGTCGAGCGGTCAAATACACTCAAAAGTAGGCTACAATCATTCGTCTACAAATATCTATCTTTTTTCGATGTATAGAACTTTAAGTTGCAATAAAACAACGATGGATTATTCGATTGACATGAATTTCATTTATCCGAAAGATGAGCTTGTACCGGATGTAGTCCAATCTGGACGTCCAATTTTCGATGACTTTTTCCAACATTTGTGGCCGTATATCGGCAATACCACGGCGAATGTTGTCTTCCAAATGGTCAAGCGTTTGTGGCTTATCCGCATAGACCAATGACTTTACATAGCCCCACAGAAAGTAGTCTAGCGGTGTTAAATCACAAGATCTTGGAGGACAATTCACAGGTCCAAAACGTGAAATTAAGCGGTCACCAAACGTGTCTTTCAATAAATCGATTGTGGCACGAGCTGTGTGACATGTTGCGCCGTCTTGTTGAAACCACATCTCCTGGACATTATGGTTATTCAATTCAGGAATGAAAGAGTTAGTAATCATAGTTCTATACCGATCACCACTGACTGTAACGTTCTGGCCATCATCGTTTTTGAAGAAGTACGGACCAATGATTCCACCAGCCCATAAAGCGCACCAAACAGTCAGTTTTTCTGGATGTAACGGTGTTTCGACATACACTTGAGGATTAGCTTCGCTCCAAATGAGGCAGTTTTGTCTGTTGACGTAGCCATTCAACCAGAAGTGCGCTTCATCGCTAAACAAAATTCGCTTATGAAAATTGGGAACAACGGCAATCTCGTTTTGAGCCCATTCGACGAATCTACGCCTTACTTGATGAATTCATGATGAATTGCCAAACCAAACTGAGAATAAATCACTTGAGAGCTGTTAAATCGGTAGCCATCTTGAACAGTAATGCCAACTCAAAACACCCATTACTTCTGATAGTTTTGTAGCAGCATAATTATCTAAATCACTTTTAACCGACCAAACAAACTTGATGATCTATATAAATAGTAGGATTACGGGCGTTGTAGATTCCCTAATTTCTAAATTTTAATACACTCATTTCAGAATTTAAACAGCACAGGTTTTCGGCTTATGCACCACACGAAATTTCGCGAAGTTGTTTAATAAAAAAACTTCGGGAATAAGTTTCCAAGCTCCCGCATAATATGCCAGCATATAACGCAAACATTATTAAAATTTTACAGTAGAACGCAATGAGGTACATTTTTCCATAAGGGCTTAATAAATTTGGTATGAGATTTCGGTATTCTTAAACATTTTTACAATTTTACGTGAAATTCAGCTTACGCTACTGCCCCTTCGTTGCAAACTGTAGAATTATTAAAGATGAAAATTAAAATTAAAATTAAATTAGGACTTTTCATAAAAAACCATATAGCTTCAATTAAATTTAAACTAGTCACTAGCTTACATTTCTAATGATACGATTCTTTATATTCTCATTTTGTGTCTATTTCTGATATTTGCAAGTGCCGAAATACCAGTATGAAGAATTTATACTACACAAAAATATTTTTTTTCGTAAATATATTATGTCAATTAAAATTTATAAATTTTATTTACCCAAACTCCAATTTAAAATATTTCTTCAAAGGCGATTTTTTATCAAGCCAAAGAGAAGTATAAAAATGTCCGCCATACCTTTTATCCCGCCGGGGGTAGGTGAATATAGAAGAACGACGCAAATATTTGCCACACACGGGCTTATATAAAAAGTATCCCAACTTGCCACTTGTTGCCCGTCGCCCTCCAAAAAGACATTTCATTTACTCCTCAGGCCTATGCAAAAGGCTCGAGCACTTCGGGGTTGTAATAATAATTAAGTTGTCAAGCAAGACCAGACGGAACCTTTGCGGTCGAAAAGTAGCCAAGAGGTATGTATAGATTATGTAAAATATTTGGGGGAACATTTTGTAAGCTTCTAACCATATTATATAATTAATACAAAATTTGTTGTTATTAATTAGGAGGGTAAGCAAGTTTTGAAGATCCAATTAGTCAATAGTTTTAATTTGATACACATTTAAACATTTTCTGCTCCTATTCAGAGATAAATTTGTGAAATAGAACGAAGTTAAACAGTGTAAGATACATTTCTGAGAAAAGTATCGTATTTCAATAATCTAATAAGGGATATCTTTGACGTTTTGACTACTTTAAAGACTTTAAAAATATATAGGCAAAGACCACTACGGTTGACAGATACTGTGAAAATTATTATTAAATTGAGAGATAAAGTTTTGAAAAAGTATAACACTACCAAAAAATAAAAGTCAATGTCATAGCTATAAGCAGTTAAGCAAACAAACTAGCAGTAAAAAGGAAAAAGTTCAGAAATTTAAATAAAACATCTAAAACTATGAATATATGTCTCCCTGATGGCTTAAATAGATCTTCAGATATAAACCAGTATTTCTTACAGTTTTATAAAAATTAACAACAACAACAACAAACATTACCATTTCGCACTTATATAGTAAACTCATGCTTCCTAAGAGCAGTGTTTTCAGATGAAAAATTGCACTCATTACTCCACTTCCCAAAAATAATAAAATATATAATTTTAATGAATTCAGACCCATTAGTATTTTATCCTGCTTATCAAAACTACTAGAAACGATTATGAATAACCAAATATGACTTTTTTTTTAAATAAATATCATTTTGCCTCATAACGTTTATTTGACACGAGCGGAGCTCAGCGGAGCGAGTTTTTAATAAACGAGTGAGTTAAAAAGTTTACCGGACGTGTTGCATACTATACTTTTTCTACGACCGTTAGTTTTTGGGTACTTTTTCGCAAAACGACACGGGTACATTCACTGACATAACCGTCAGAATTGACAAACGTCAAAATTCAAAGCGTGGGAAATATCTCCGAAAACATCCGATTGCTCCCAAATCCGTGCGGTAAAACCCGGAAATGTCCGAAGTGGCTCGGGTTCATGGGAAACGAAACTGACGTGGTAAAGTGACGCTTCCCGCACGCTAGATCTGTGAGTAATTAGGTATTTTACGGACGGGAGTAGAAAAGAGATTTAAAAAGACTAACTGAATTCTTAGCACGTCACGGGTTAATAATTAATCCTACCAAATAATCTGTTATGCTCTTTGGAAAGAATAGTATCTGAAAGTGGGTGGCAGAGTTTTACAGTTTGAAAATGGTGTCAAAAATCTTGGTCTAAGAATTAACCCAGATTTTCATCTTAGAGAGCAAGTTGCTTTATTCGCATCGTCATATATTGTCTGAAGTTCAAAAAATGAAGTAGCATACTCTTTAGTGTTAAGTTATTTTAACAATCGAGATATTTTGAACAAATAAAACTGAGAATGTACAAAAAAACGGTATATTTATATTACGTTCCTTGCTATTTTTCCATAACATTATTTTTAATAACAGTCCTTTTAATAAAACACTTACTTCACAAATAAAATAAAGTGTACGACAGATTTTAGCAGTTTAAATCTTAGGGACTTATCTCTCCACCACCGCACAGGAGGTCTCTCCTTCAAAGAAGCTTTTCCTACAATATTTATAAACTTTACAATATCATTTCTCTTTCTTTAAAAGTCCTATCACCATTACTTTTTAAAAGGAAATTAAGACTAGAATTGTTTAGTCAACAAGCACAATGTAGGTGACTTTCGAGTTTACTTTCAAATTCATAGTTATAAATAGTTGTTATGTATCATTTTATAGAGGTGGAACTTTTCCGCAATTTGTCTATTTATAGTATCTTGTTGTATTATATATTAAATACAGCAGAATAAATCTGTTACTATTATTATTATTCTATGCCACTTTTGTCTGCAAAATTTCAATTGTCGGGTGGGTTCGGGTTGGCGCCCAAAATTTCGGTATTCGGCAATTTCTGTGTCGCGTGCTCCAGTTTACGAATTTTTCTCTCCTTGAGTAAGTTCTATAAGTATGTAGTGTATTTCAAAATAGTTCATTTTATATTTCCAACGAAGGCGACAGTAATATAATAAACGATGTCTTCTTTCCTGAAGAATATAAATAACAACTTGTTTCTGAAAAAGTTCGCAGGTTGCCAAACATTGGTGAGGAAAACAAAATATTGACTTTTAGTAAGTTCAGTTCTGTGATAAAATCTACATGGAACTTAAAATACACAAAATTAAATTATCAGAAGTGGACATACATTTTAGAAAAATATTATTATTCGATTTTAGTATTTCGTTCCTTTTTTTTAGTGTGTCCCAATTTTGAACATATATATTTTAGTGTATTTTTTGTCTCTTTATAAATAAATCCAATTTTATAATTAGTACTTCATGTCGTAATAAGCAATGACCTGAAGGAAACTATAAAGTGATACATCGCTGCTGCAAGTCCATTTTAGAAGAAAATGTGTTGAAGCAGAAAGTTTTTTAATACATTTTAATAGCCCAAAAAAAAATTAAGATACGAAAGCGCTAACCTTTTCCAGTTTCAGTGTATTTTGCATCTAAATTCATGAAACACCTTTGGGATTTCTTCGGAAATTTAAGAAAAAGCAAGAAACCAAAAATTATCTTCGCGGAAGCGTTTTCACACTAATAAAAATTTCAAAGTATAAACTTTATTGTTTTCTGGCAAGTAATATTCTTAAACCAGCGTCGCAGGCGGCACCGTCTGCGAAATAATATGACACCGCGAAATATTACAAAAAGGAGGAAAACGAAATGAGGGATGGATTCAATCTCCTCTTCACTGTGCGAAACATCCCAACAACATACATATTCTCATCCAGGCCAGTGTTTGCTGGAATTTCTGAAAATAAAGAATGACTCCTGCGAGGAAATGGACGTGTGTGGAATTTGAGACATAGGTATGGTCGGAAAGGTTTCGCCGAAATATAGTTGTTTACTTTCCATTACCGATGGACCTTGCTATCAAGTAGGGTAACCCACATCAATGAATTTATTTTAAAAGTGCACGTATTTTCCTTCCATCGAAATTTCGTGCGTCATAATTATTACAATTTTTGTTTAGTGTGTATTTAGTGTGTATTTTGCTTATATGCAGGGAGTCGAGAATATGGTCAACCAATTATTGTCAGAAATAGACCCAAAATTAGACCGAAGATTTTTGTTATTCTTTTTTAAAACAGTATCAGGTGCCTTTTCATTGTTCAAACTTTCATAAAAATGGGGTTTTAGAATTTAATCAAACTAAGTATAATTAACAATTTATTGTTATCGCCAATTAAGTTGAAAATATTTAATTTACTAATGGTCATTTTTTTAACTTCTAATTGTGTAATTAGATTAGAATATCTCAATTGTTATCAAAAGTAAACAAGAAATATGCAAGTAAAAATTATTAAACGAAAGAAATTTGGGTTGTAATTGGGTATAGGACAATTTATTTACAAAATTTACATAAAAAGTGTAACCTAACAGCACAATTTCACATACCAAGTTTCAACAAGATGACATCTATGAATAAAAATATTATTTTTTAAATAAAGTTTAACGGTCGATATTATGGAAATTTGGCGCAAAAATGAAAAATATTTTCGAACAGGGAATTCGCTATTAACCCCCATTTTGTGAGTCTCACATTCGAGAAGTTCGAAAATCTTTAACATACTAAATAGAAAAATATAAATACTTGGGTGCATGATAAATTAAAAGAATGACTGGGGTAATTTCAGTAAAGAGCAGACAAGAGCTACCTTACTGAAGGTAATAATAATAATAATAATAATAATAATAATAATAATAATAATAATAATAATAATAAGGGGTGATTGGGGGTTGCGCTGTAGAGGTAGTACCTTTTATCAAGGACGGTGGCACTCAACGATATAATCGGTGAGTGGTCGGCGATAACTGGTCCTCACAGGGCACCCAATTCTCACTTATGGCTCCACGTGCCACACCCCGGAAACTGCTTCCACCGGCAGGCTAAACTAAGTGAGGATAGCCAGATATTGGCGAACAGCGACTGTTCTCCAGGTTAGGAGCGGCTGAACTCAACCCTGTTATACAGGACCCCATTAAAACATGATGGAGAATCAAAATAATGATGCCTCGGATGAACTTTATGGTGAACGGGATTTAGGCAGAGGGTCCCCGGAACCCGAGCTACAGTCTCCTGCAGTCGGTGGTGGACCGAGTGGCGCCACCCTGCGAATGGCTACCACAAGACACAATGGCGGCAACACTTCAGCAAATGCAGCAGATTCAGAAAATGTTCCTCCAGCTCTAGGGCAGGGGGGCATTGATGAAGAAAGGCACGCTGTACCTACAGCACCTCGAATGCGCAAAAAATGGACTAATGAAATAAACACATTTCTTATGCGCATATACTACAGAATTACTAACCTAGAAACAGATATGCTAAGATATAGAGATGAACTACATCAAGAATTCTCTACCACATACCCAGAAATGAACGCTAGTGCACAGAGACTTTCAGACCAAATACGTGCAATCAAACGACGGAATCTCTTACCTTCTGCAACACTTAACAGCATAAAAGATGAGGTCAGGCGAGAAGTAGAAGATCATATTACTCATCAGAATGAGGACCACACAGAAGAAATGACTCCTATTGACGATTCCCCAAAGCAGCTAATAGTAGACCGCACAAATATACCAAACCGTCAGATCGGTACTAATGCTTTAAATGAATCGCTTAAACCAGAATTTCATACTGCGCTGATCCAATATAAAGATGTAGAGCCCAAATATAGACCTAAGATACCAACACTACATACCTCTGTGAAACTATCTCAGATTGTCGAATTATTAAATACTGAAATTCTCCCATCTGCCCTACTTGACGCAAAAAAATAAAGTTCACGCCGTAGTCTATTGCTCCGCAGTTGCAACGGCTAGAGCGATGGGATTTAAAGTTACGTCCGACTCTAGAGTGGTGAATAAACAGGGCGAGCCGGCATGGAAGAAACGATTAAGCCAACTTATTGACACACTTAGGACAGACATCGGAAGGCTAACGAGCTTCCAGAAAAAATCCCACAACACACCTAAGTTACTTAAGCAAGTTCAAAATATTAGGGAAAAGTACGGACGCCACGGAGAAGTTCCTAACCTTAACGACCAACAAATCATGGACACTATGAAGCAGAAGCTTTCAGTTTACTCAGCCCGATTGGCAAGATATAATAAAAGCTATAAACGGAAAACCCAAAATCATCTATTTAATGTAAGTGAAAAAGCCTTTTACCGTAGCTTAGATAAAAAGAAACACGAGTGTAATGAAGACCTCAAAATAACACCCCAAGAATTAGAAAATTTCTGGGCCCCAATATACACAAACAAGGATGAACATAACCAACAAGCAACGTGGCTATCTGAAATCTCTTCTACAATCGCAAATCCAATGGAATACTCCAGGATAACAGAAACAGACGTTAGAGCAGCAATATCTAGGACAGCCAACTGGAAAGCTGCAGGTCCAGACAAAATACAAAACTTTTGGTGGAAACGACTGTGGGTCACACATGCGTACCTAGCCGAGCATTTCTCCAAAATAGTGTCTGATCCAGAGTTACTACCGTCATTCTTTACAACAGCCATAACTCATCTTATCCCTAAGGACACAACGAAAATCAATGATCCATCCAAGTACAGACCAATAGCATGCCTCCCCACTATATACAAAATACTCACGGCATGCATCTCTAACAAAATCTACAACCAACTAGACAGGAATAGTTTGATCGCTGAAGAACAGAAAGGGTGCATTAGAAAAGCGTATGGCTGTAAAGAACAACTAGTCATCGACTCAGTCATATCAAACCAGGCAATAAAAAGCAATAGAAATATTCACATGGCTTACATCGACTATCAAAAAGCATTTGACTCTGTGCCACATTCCTGGTTGAAATATGTACTGAAACTCTATGGTATCCACCCCCAAATACGGACGTTTCTTGGTCTTTGCATGAAAAAGTGGAATACTGACCTGACACTCCACCATCAAGGGAAGTCGCTGATTGTACCGAGGATGAGGATTAAAAAAGGAATTTTCCAGGGCGACAGTCTGAGCGCTTTATGGTTCGTCATGTCAATAAATCCTCTCAGCCTGCTTCTGAATAACAGCCGATACGGCTTCGAATTAAAGACTCCTAATAGATCCCATAGGTTAAGCCACTTGCTCTATATGGATGATCTCAAACTATACGCATCTTCAAAACAACAACTATCAAGTATGATCCGGATAGTGGAAATGTTTAGCACGGATATCCGAATGAAGTTTGGTTTGGATAAATGTAGAACTATCCATATAAACAAGGGAAAGTTTTCTAACGTGGTGAACATACAAGAATCAGAGATTCAAAACATGCAAGAGACGGATCTTTACAAGTATCTTGGAATTGAGCAGGCGCGAAATATTGATCATGTTGGCACTCGAGAAAAACTCGAGAAGATAGTGTACGAAAGAACGCGCAAAATAGCCAACAGTTGTATAAATGGTCGAAATATGAGCAAGGCACTTAATACCTTTGTTATTCCAGTACTGACCTACTCTTTCGGCATTATAAAATGGTCAAAAACCAGCATCAAGCTAATAGAAAGCAAAATGCGTTCAATATATAAAAAACACGGTCACCTCCATCCCAACTCGTGCCGTGAGAGATGGACTCTTCCAAGAAGTGAAGGGGGAAGAGGAGTAATACACCTACTCAATATGCACAATAAACAAGTGAACAAGCTACGAGAGTATTTCTACAATAAAGATGCTGCACTACATAAAACCGTAATAGAGGCAGATAAAAAATACACTCCATTAAACATGGCAGATAGAAACGCAGTATTTCAAATTGAAATAAACGATGAGATCCTGCATCAATGGGCTCAGAAGGCGGTCCACGGCGGGCATTTTTCCGACCTGCATCAGGAAGATGTTGACATTAAAGCGTCAAACAAATGGCTGAGCAACGGAGACTTGTACGCCGAGACCGAAGGCTACCTGCTGGCTATTCAGGATAGAGTACTACCAACAAGAAATTATAAAAAATATATCCTTAATACCCCTCACACAGAAGATAAGTGCAGAAGATGTGGCCAAAATGGAGAAACTATTGAACACATACTAAACGTTTGTTCAACTTTAGCACCCACAGAATACACAATAAGGCACGATAATGTAGCAAAAATAGTTCACCAAAACCTTGCAGTTAAACATCACCTTCTTGAACAAAAGTGTCCTTACTTTAAATATTCACCTGAAGCTGTTCTGGAGTCAAATACCCATAAACTGATGTGGAACAGATCTATCATAACAGACAAAGCAATTCAACATAATAGGCCAGATATAATACTCACTATTAAAAATGAAATGATAACCTACTTAATCGATATCGCAGTACCTTGGAACAGAAATCTTTCAAATACTTACAACCGTAAAATACAAAAATACTCTGAGCTTGCTAGCGAGATCAAAAGAGTTTGGCGCCAAAGGGAGGTTCATACAATACCAGTGGTCCTATCTTCTACAGGCCTATTACCCAAAAAACTTCATAAGTCACTTCAGTCTCTCGGCCTTCAACAATATCTCTATATGGAACTACAAAAAGCCAGCATACTACAGACTTGCCACCTGGTCAGAAATTTCTTACAGTAGGAAGAGTATTTGTCTCAGACCGTACCTTCTTATTAAAAATAAAAACCGACAACGTCGAGCTAAAGAATAAAAAAAAAATAACAATAATATAATAATAATAATAATAATAATAATAATAATAATAATAATAATAATAATAATAGATAGATAGATAGATAGATAGATATCGTTTATTGATTAAATTTAACAAGAAATAGAAAAATAATATGTATATAAACATATGTTTATAGAAAAAAAAATTATAAATAAAAATATTTGCTTGAGTTAACAGTATACACTGTATTCTTGGGATATGCGATAGAAATTCCTCAACTGAGTAAAAACCATAACTGGAAAGATAGTTTCTAACCGATAACTTAAATTTTCTTATCGTAAATTGCTTAGCGTTAGCTTTATACAAGCGGTTATAGTTGTTCACAAATATGTTATATATGTTCAAATTTAGTTTATTTTTCTGAGTAGTGGCTAATCTAGACTTAAGTGGAACAATATTGCTAGATCCGCGTGTGTCGTAGCAGTGGTAGTCACCATGAGTAGAGTACCTCTGCAAACCAGCATGGACCTCCAGAAGGTTGTAGTATATGAATAGGGAAGGCAGAGTTAGAATCTTAAATTTAATGAAAAGCTCACGACAATGTGCTCCAGGAGGAGCCCCTTGGAGAATGCGAACTGCTGCCTTCTGAAGCCGAAAAACCCGATCAGCATCTGAAGAGTTACCCGAAAGAAGCACGCCATAGGTCAGATGACTGTGAAAGAGTGCAATAATAATAATAATAATAATACACTACAAATCACATTTTGACAAAAAGCACCCACTCTCGGTTTTATAACACCCTTCTAAATGAAAAATGTTAGCGAGAAGGCCCTAGAATCTATAACAGCATCGAATCTGGAAGCGCGCTCATATATCTATTATAATATTAATATGACTATTGACTGAAAAATTTGTAACTGCTTGGAACATAATTGCGGGGGAGTTTGCCCCAAGGGGGAACAATCGGAGAAAAAGGAGACCCAAACCCAAATCGACTGTGAAGTTGCCATAAGAGTTAAGACATAACAAAATAAAGATAAATACAAATATTTGAATATTTAAATTAATTATTATAAAATTAGATTTTGTTCTGTAAGTAATTTAGATGTTATTAATTTTGTGTATGCAGATAGTCCTAATTCCCTCGTTTGACTGTTAAAGACTATTTCGTATAATTATTGCCACCTAAGTAAATGACCTCTAAAATGCTGAGATTCTACAACGAGGAACAACGTAATTTAGGTTATTTCTTGTTAGATAAGCCGGTTTATCTGATTTTCTAATTTTATAAACAAGCCTGTACATATGCAGTTTCCGTCGATTACCCTTGTTTAAAATATTACAATTAATCAAAAAAGGAGATATATGACTACCGTAAGGTACCTTCTCGTTTTCCAAGACTACAATTAGCAATAAAGAGAAAAACTGAGGAGAAACTTACGAGAATGATTCAACTGCTGACACGATTGCTGACCTTCGGATCGAAGATGATACTTGAAGAAGAAGAACATACTAAAATGATACGGTAAAGGGTTCTTTCATTTCATGAATTGGAAAACCCCAAATCTTTTTACACCATCTGCTTCCACTTCATTCAGATGACGAAATGCTGTAGGCAAGTGGGTGAGACATGTCCGTTAATAATTATTAACCAAATTCCTCTACTTTTAACAAAACTGAGGACATATCGCACTAGAAACAAGGAATTTATAGCAAAGCCCTACTCAAACGAGTAGAGCAGAAAACCCGAGAGAAAAACGAGAGAAAATTTCCGCCGAATCATTGAACCAAAGCGCAATGCGATCAAAATATTTTCATATTGAATTTTGTTTTCCTGAAGCAACGATTTCTAAATACCCATTCATTTAGGTGTACGTAAGGTTCGTTCGGAATTGACCAGTGTTTCTACACACACATCCGAAAGTTTTACCGGTAAGCCGGCTTTAATGTTGCAAAGTCCTTGATTCGATTAGAAGGACGCAAGCTTGGACTAAAATACGAACTTATGCTGTGTGCCACTAATATATATTTAAGGTACTTTTTGCGTGAGCCTAACGTCATTACTTTATTCCAGGTAAGGTAATTTATTTCGGAGAGTAACGAAAGTACTTAGTTGATCATACAGGATCCTATATAAGAAGATAAACATTATAGTCAGTGCATTTTATGTGTCCCTAGTAGAATACTATATTTTTCAGAGATTTTGATTTGATTGATTTCATAATTCATAGTTTTTGTTAGTTCGATATTTAAATTGTGCAATCGGCGCGTAGCAAATAGTTCCTTTTGGCCGTATTGATGTCCACTTTTATTGAGTCAATATTAGAAAAGCACATGGTGAATTTTAGTTACCCAGGATTTTTTAAAAATTTAAACAGTTTTTGGTTTAATGCATCAGAAATTATAGCCTCGTAGCACCCCGGGCAGAGCTTTGTGATCGCATTAGAGAAGCTTTTCAATGTGTAAGTCGACAACTGTTGGCAAACTTACGTTTTGATTAAGGATAACTCGTCTCCTGTCAAATTTTATTAAAGGGGCCATATGTAAAGAACTGAGCCTTATGACACAGGAATATACTTTTAACTTAAAAAAATGCATAAGCTATAAAGAATATCGACTTTGGAGATTTTTTGTTTAGAAAAAATCTCTGAATTCAAGATAACTTTTTTTATTACTTGGAAAACGTATGGTATTGCGGTAAGTTAAATTTTTATTTCAACGTGTCGGTTTTCCTCTACCATGTGCAATTCATGGATGTACGTCATTTTTTTATTTTTGCATTTATTGCAAACTAAATTTTAAGCGTTCCCGTATGGTTTCGGTCGATGAATATGTATAAGTTCCAGTCGGTTATCTCCGTGATTTATCATAGACCAGTCGAATACGGACGCCTCACAATTAATTACGTCCATATTATCGGTCCAAGCGGTGTTTCTAATGATCGGACACCAATTGTGGTCGCTATCTCCCTTGGTAAATAATTAGTCGGCGGTTGGTCACTATAGCATGACGCAGTATCAGTTGGAACTTTCCAATGCTCAGCCTGTAGATTTACAATTATTTAAATTGTTGTTTATGCTTTTGGGAATCAATATTAAGCAATAACACTGTTCAACTTAGCGTCTTGTGACGACGGACAAGAATTAATGTATTAACAGTAATAAATTTACGTCTATCAAAGAATTATTCCATCACAATGTATCATATGCTAATAAGATAATGTTACATTTGGTCGCTAATCAATGTAAAGCCTCGTTGGCCGATAGTCCTTTGTTCCAGTATCCCGGATTACAGAGAACAGAATTATTTTAATCGACTCCTACGACGCAGTATACTAGGTAACATTAGTTGAACCACTGCTCTTATTTCCCTACACATTCATAAGGTGAAGTTCGCCTCACAAATATTCAGCTCATTGTTATATACCTTATATAAAACGTAAGGTATTCAGCATTAATTATAATTTAAATCTGTTAAACTCCTACGGAAGACATTTACTGAGTCAATCAGGACTTTTGTTTGGATATTTATTAAAGCATTCGCTTTTAAACATGATCATAATAGGAGTTGTGGTTTACCAAAATCACAAACAAGCATTCCTAACTACTGGGCTGAGGTGGCTTTTATTTCATGAAAATTCATTTAACACAATAAAATTAGAACAAAAAATGTTCAGATACGACTTTGCTAAACATTGACAAAAGCAATAATTTTTGTTAAGTTAGTAATGTTAAGGCATATTTTACAAATCCTGTTGGAACGCGCTACTAATTAACATTGCGAGAATCGAATTCCTGTCATTCTCGAAGGGTCTGAGGACGTATTTCGTGGGTCGAATGAGAATTTGACGGCTTTTACCAAATTAGTATCTACTCCACTTATAGCAATCGCAATCACACTCATTTTTGTAATTTAATAGTAATAATGTAGGCTGCTATATTGTAAAAACAGACTCCAAATGAATCACAGTCAAGCGTTTTTTCTATAATGTTGTGGATTTCAAATTCCATGCCAATTTGAGACATGTCCATTTCGTTAATTCACCGAAAGTTAAATACAACATGTATTTCTGTCGCTCCCTGTGACTCATAAGTACGTTACAATATACGTAACGTATCCTAATGTCTTCTTGGGTTGAACATTCTAAACCCCGCAAATGTGATTTTCAAACGGGGCCGACACAATTGGGTTCTCCGCCGGTTTTCTAAATGCATTCTCACGTTCTCCATTTCCAGTTTTGTTTTCGCGTAATACGGGGAATATCCTCAATTATTCCGGATTATGCGAGAGCGGCGCATTTTTGTATTTGAGCCTTAAGCATCGATAGAAATGGATCTGTCAAGCGATAGATCAAGTAGATACGATAAAGTACGTTTCTATATTTGGCTAGTTCGACGAGAAACTGAGGTATTGCCCAGCGCGTGTGGGTTTGCGGTATACTGGTATACTGTGGTTATCGCCTTTATAGGTATTTTGGAGCAGAAAAAAGATATTGAACAAATAATATCTAATTCAAAGAATGAAGAAATTTAATTCAACTTAATTTTATTTTTATACAGTTTGAAAATATATTGCCGATGTATATTGCTTTATCATTTCTATTAAAAAAGAAGAAGTAAGGGATGTAGCATCGCATTCGCCGCATGTTTGAACCATGTTGAATCTTGTTCACAGAAGCCGAAAAGATTGAATTTTTAATGATGATACGTATGGAGAACACAAAATAAACTAGACTAGACAATCAATCAATCACATTTATCTCGTTAATTAGATAATACATTGAAAATTTGAGCAATTGATTTTTTTTTGCATTTGTTCATTCTAATGCAATTTCACTTACTAGTTGTGGCTAAGTTCTTATTAATATTTAAATTACACTACTTACAAATTTATCCGGCCGCCCCACCGAATTTCTTTTTTTTTATTTTATTGTATAATTTTGATTTTACGATCCTTGACATCAGAAGTAGGATCAGGACTTTTCGGTAACGTCTGAAGCGTGATAGTGACTATATTAATACAGTGCTAAATAAATGCTCTACTCTTGGATGGTTGATCTGCAATTGCGGATTTACGGGCTCTAGAAAGGAGAAGATAAAAAAATGGTATGCAGTTCTTTGCAGTCTTTGCAAAAACAGTAGATTTATGGGGGTCATAAGGAATATTTCGTCACTTATTTTTGAGTTTGATTTTTGATTTTAAAGTTATTACATTTTTCGCTCTCTCTTCGGGCGAAAAGTTAAGAACAGCGTCCCTGGTCCTTTGAAGCTTAAATTTGGTGAGATCTTTCCTTTTTGTTTAGCACGGAGTTTGTTTCCTTTTGAAAGGAACTATTGCATGTAAACATGATCGCAAATATCTGAACACTTTGCCCACTTTGAGGGACAGTAGTAGCTCTTCAAGATGCAATAAGCAAATGCTGAGTTTTGTTGGAATTCAGGAAATTTTATTTTTTAACAATGTTTTAATTTAAAATGGCCTATTCTTTAATTGGGAATTAAATGTCCTAGCTGGGGAAAAAATGTTAATTTTTGTGAAATGGATAAACAAATTTCATATCAGGAGTTCTACTTATTACTGTAAACATGAGTAGCTTGGAAAGTTGCTCAAAAGAGCTACACCGATTGATGTCGGCAATGGAAATTGAGCAATTTCGCAATTGATGATTTACTTAACCACTTAACGTTATTCGAAATATCGAATTACAGAAAGAATGACAGGTATGTAGCTCAATGACCTGAAGAGGCCCTTTTTAAACGTAATTTTCACTGAATGTAAATGTCAAATAGCAATGAAGTATATTCCAATGTAGCAAAAACATATGATTGAACACAATTTTTTTTTCAGTAAAATGGAAAGAAATAATTCATTTTTTTAGGCAACATCCTTTCTTTTTTTTGATGCACGAGACATTTTTCTATTTTAGTTGGTTGAATTTTGATTTTGCTGAAATGATGCATCTACACTTTGTAGGGATGATACTATCATCTGTTCAATCTTCTCGAGTTTGTTTTCGTAAATGCCATAGATTACTATGTTGGCTTTAATTTTCTGGTAACCTTGAGCGTTAACTATGGAACTAAAATAACTAATGTTCTTTTTTAAAAAGGTATTTTCCTTATTCTGCAATTCAATTTTTACATTGCTGCTTTTCTGCTTTTCGCTGTCCAAGATATCGTTAATAAATAGCACGCCAGCTTGATTTCAGAGATTTCGGAAATATTTGAAAACACTGCAAGGTTACTGGCACCTGTATACTTCGTCTTGTACCTTCGTCTTTTCCGTTTTTTCGATCGCTTGATCTTCTAATTGGGCAGACTTGATCATATAAAAATTTTTTGACGAGGGTATATCGTCCTTGCATTCAGAGGAAATCAATATAACCGCCTCTGAGACACACTTTCAACAAAACTGTGAAATCGGGCTTGTCCTGTCGCTTTTCGCAAACCGGACACTCCATTTGTTGATAGTGATGAATCGCCATTTTGGTTAAATGGCTTGGTTGAATTAGGTTCTAGAATTAGCTAATGTTTGCTAAGTACCTTTGAAATGAAAAAGAATAAAAAAATTTGAATCAGTTATAAAAAATGGCATTGGAATTTAAATAATAATAATCGAACATATTTCCGATTTACTGTTTTTATTTCAAGTTAGGAACTCGCACTTAAATCGGTTCAACTCAGTATCATGGTTGTTTACTAAAGTTTGTTTTTTTTCTTTCAGTGGTAAACTGTCTTCAACAATGCGTGTATTTCAATTCAAAATGAATCGTTATCGTAGAAAGAAAATAATTGTTAATTGCGACACGCTGTATATTATTAAAAGTACGAATACTACAAATTTTATCAACCTTGTAGCTTCAATAGTAAAGAAGTGAGCATAATAGTGTAAAACCGTGGACCGAGGTTGTTCACATTATATCATAATTGAATGTCTTATTAAAGAAGTTACTTCTGTTAGTTCTCCAGAACTTGCATTATGGATGCCGTTGTCGAGATACTTATTTCGCTTAATTCGCAACTCCGTATATTCATTATTTTCAGTCACACCATCCACAGACCACGCAATCTCTCACGTG